GATCCACAGTCAATCCCAGTGAGAACGCTCCCTATCCGGAGCTATATGGAGCTATATGTAGATATCCCCACCTATCTTGACCAATTGGTCTGACATTTAGCGCCAGTGCTCTCGAGAGTTTGACGCATTGACATGTAGAACAATTCTCACAAAGCACAAGCGTGCCTTCGCGAATTGTGATTTTGGAGTGAGCTGTTGTGCGCTCGCACATTTCTCTCTTGTCTGTCCGCCGTCCAGGCGGGCGGCTCTCGCGGTCACATGATCTTTTTCGATGTGTCTCGGCCGGAATTCTTCCTTGGAGACTCACCAATGCGTATCATGTTGCAGTGCCCCTTGCCCGACAACGTCTCCGATATCCTCACCATTTGTATGGATTTTATTCAGCCGAAGGGACGAGCCATTGTCGTCTCATCTGTGCTTGATTGCAAGAGTTAGTACACTTACTACAGCATCAACAGTGGCACGCACTCGATTTTCACGCCTCCGCGAGCTCCTGCGCGAGCTGGACGCCCCCAGCCTTCACTGCGCTCATGCGCTGTGAGTGCCTGCCGTGGTGTAGGTACGACGAGCGTAAGTTGTAACGGGGACTCGGGAGATCGGAGGGCGTGACATGATGTGTCGCATCAGAGCACGTGACGCCCACTGGGACCGCGCCGCCCGCGCGGAGGCCGCGACATTTCTCTCTTCTCCCATATCCACCACCTTCCCTCTGCCGGCCCCTATGCAACCAGAGACATCCCCTTCATACCGTTGCCTCTCATAACCCATGGTATCTTCTTCCCTTTCTTCTTCCTCTACCTACCAAGCGTCAACAAGATTCCTTCGGTCAAGCCGGTCCCTGAGTGGGTATATGCGCTCAAATATTTCACTCTCTGACGTATTGCTGCATCTCCAGATTCATTGCACCATAGGGCCTTCAACTATTAGTGCATAGGCTTAGTGATTGGGATTTGTCAGTGAGTGCTTTCATTTATGGTATGGAGCGGTCGTAGACAGCCCGCACTTGGAGACGTCGGAGTCAGTCGGTTTCTTTAAGTACGCTTTTCATTCTTATTTCGGTGTCCTCCCTTCCTTTGCCCATTAATATCCCGTCCGTTACGCCCCTACATCCGTCACTGCCCTCCTGCGATCTCGAAGCCGCTATCGCGCACCTTTCGTTGCTGCCCTACATCTCCACCCCACATCGCGCGGTCACGCTACGTCCTCGCGCGCGTGGCCTGTCGCTCTATTGCACCGCGCTTAGTTGCTCGCGCCCGCACCCAGCCGTCTTGCACTCACAGTCCCGTGCTCCCTCTATCCCCTGTTTTCGTCCTCACCTCGGTCGCTGACTGGTTGGTCGCAATTCTCACAGGGACTGGGTGCACGACAACCTCAGGTGAGTTTATGCCGACTATATGTGCCCCTCATCGCGTTCAGTTTCGTATCTTTCGACAGAACATCAGACCTTGTAGGCCCTCAATCTGGTGAGCCGTTTTAGCTAGTACCTCTAGCTGCCTTCTAGCTGCAGGGAACTGAGGGCCCGGAACGCCCCCACCAGTGGCTCATTAACCCCATAACGCCACTTGTCGAGCCCGCGACACCCCCCGCTGATCCTAGAACGACGCCATTTGCTGCACAGTCCACGCGGAGAGCAAGGGCGCTCTCCTCCACATGGTCTTCGCAGACGCAGGCGACAAGCTCGAGCTCGTCGTCGTCGAGGACATCACCGTCGTGCGTCCCCCGCCTCCCTCCCCCTGTCGCCCCTCTCCCTGACACGCCCCAGACCCACGCCGACACCAACCCAGCCGGGCGCGTTCGACGACGCCGTCCTCCACACCGCCTCCCCCTTCCACTTCCACGCCGACGACCTCGCGAAGCTTATCACACCCGCCGTTGCCGGCATGACCGGCATCCTAGCCTCCGCTGCTGCGCACGCCGGCCTGCACCTCCAGCGCGTCGTCGTCATGAGGCCGTGCGCCGCCAGTGCTCACCCCGGGCGATGCCTCAGGACGCGTGTTCGCCGAGACGGACTGGAACGAGGCGAGGTCGAGGCCGTCGGGTGCGCCGTAGAGAAGTACATCTTGGTTGGGAGCACGGCATCGCCCATCAAATCATGATGTGCCAGTGCGCGAAGCGGGACGGGGAGGTTGGACGCGCGGGCAGAGAAGGCGAGGGTGTGTGGGCGATGGCGAGGGCGCGAGGGAGGTGGTCGGACGGCGCACGTGTACGATATCAAACGTCAATGAATTGGTGCAGATATGTGCAGATATATCGGGCCCTTGTTGCACGTGGTTTCGTTGAAAAGGCCCGTCGATAGCTAGGGACAGATGGCAATAGGTGGCATCTATCCCCATAATTGTCAGTGGCGTGTCAATCGTTGCGGATAGATGGGGATAGGCGGACATTTATGAAAACCTACGCAATGAGGCATTCAGCAATATCGACCTATCCCCAGCAATCTGGGTCGTTGAGATAGCTCCAGATAGCTCCGGATAGGGGGCGTTCTCACTGGGAGTCAATGTCGCAATGGCTAACTTGACAGAATCCTCACTGTGTACAAATGGCACAACGCTGTTCAAACAGACCCAAGCCTCGTCCGGCGCGATACGTGAGCAGATATGATCAGATGATTTGCGCGATCGGACGCCATTCGTAGAAAAACATTGGCCCATATTAGCCACCAAATCCCCTATCTTCTTCGATGCGCTAAACTACAACAATTACGCCTGGCTACAGCAAAGACTCTTCCATAGAGCCAAAAACCTCGGCTACGAAGCTAGGCACCTTGCTGCTGGAGAGCTACTCCAAGAGAGGGGACTCGTCGACGTTAAGGATGGTCCAGGTGAAGAAGCGAATCGCCTCGATAAAACCTTCTCCGCGCAGAGCTAGAGCAGGCGTTCCGTCAGTGAGTGGAGATGGTCGGGAGAGCACTGGTGGCGAACCTTCATTGATGGTGTGACCCCCGTTGAACGAGTCTCCGTTGTTGATGTGCCCGTACCGGAAGATATGCTTCGTGAGCTTCCAGTAATGCTTTGTGTCTGCGCGCACAACATTAATCAACGCACTCCTCTGCTGACTACCAGCACGAGCACGAAAACGCACCTGTGTTGCCCGTCGACATCGACGGCGCGATGAACGTCTTCTTGTCGTACCCCGTCCGGTTCGACGCCCCCAGCACCCCCACGATCGTCCCCGACAGCAGCCTGAACGGCCCGCTCTCGCCCATCGGCGTCAAAGGTGCGGGCTCCAGCGCGGTCCCCCACGCGTCCTCGATGCGCATCGCGCCGGCCTCCTCGCCCGCGCCCGCGATCACTGTGCGCCCGAACGCGTCGAGCGCGAGGCCGAAGCGCGCGGCGACGGGCGCGGCGACGCTCGCGATGCGCGCCTGCAGTTCTGCGATCGAGCTGTGGATGCTCAGTCGGTGGTTGACGATTACTTCCGCGCGCTCCGGGAGCGCGTTCGTCTTCACGCCGCCGCGGACGACATCGACGGCCTGCGTGGTGCCCGCGAGGGGGCCGTACAGCCGGTCGGTGTCCGCGAGGTAGGCTTCGAGCTCGTGCAGGGCCTTGTCCGATTTGTGGGAGCGCCGGATGAGCGCGCGGAAGTGCGAGGGCAGGTCGGGGTCGTGCGCGGCGCGGCATTGGAGCTGTTGGTAGTAGATGCCGGACCGGTTGAGCGAAGGAACGTGCGGGTTGTCTTCGAGCTGCTTGATCATGGCAGCGAGCATGCCGATGCTCTGACAATCACGATGAGAGGACGAATGGTCACGGAGGCGCTTGAACGTACGGTGTGTTCAGGAGGGATGCTAGAGTGTCCTCCTGGCGCTGATATCTCGAAACGAACGTCGAATTTTCCCTTCTCAGCGACACCAGGGGTAGACATGATCACGTCATCAGTGACGGAATAACCACCTAGTTCAACCAGGTCAATGTCGGACTAAGAAGAAGCATGACTTCAACTGACCTCCTTCATCTACCAGAATAGAGAACGCATATTCTCCGTAGGTCGAAAGCAGATAATCACGAATGGCAGTGGCCCCCTACCGCGGGTTAGTACGGCCATGGGTCGATCCGGGAACACTCACGGAAATACCACCACGCTCTTCGTCAATACCATACGCAAGGACGATGGTGCGAGTGGGCTTGAATCCAGCCTGGAGCAGTTCCTCCACAGCCGTTCTGAGGACAGATCAATGAGTAATCCGTGAGTCATCGTCCGCTCAGCTGTTGGCTCACAGGGTGCCAACGAGCCCTGGCTTATCGTCGCAGCTACCACGACCCCAGATGTATTCACCTATAGCGCATTTATTCAGAATGCGCGATCCTTCTACGGCCAGCGGCCAGCGGGTACTCACCATCAAAGTGGCCGGAAAAAGGAGGCTGCAACCACTTGTCCAAAGTCGTGGGCTCCACAGGGACGACGTCTTGGTGGGCAGTGAGCAACGCGGGCTTCAGGGATTCGTCGCTACCCTGCCAGTGGTACACCAGGGCGAACTTGTTGACGTGGGTCTTGCGGAGGTTGGCGTGGCTGTCGTCGGGGTTCGCTCTCGCCTCCACCGCAACGTAGACAACCGAGAGACTCACACCAGAGGAAACGCGTCTCGAGGTACGCGTGCAGCTCCCCAAAGATCTCCCACCGCTCGTCCTGCCCCGGCGGCTTGAGGTCGTCGTACGCGATCGTCCTGCCCCAGCCAGACGCATGTGTCAACAATGACGCGCGCAGCAGCGTTCAGACGACGACTGCAACTCACGGGACCCGGATCGCGCCCCCGAGCGACTCGTACGCCTTCAGCCTGAACGCGTCCATCGCGTACTCCGCCTCCAACGCGTCGAGGAGCGCGCCGTGCCGTACTGGCGCGATCGCGCCCGTCTGCGGGCACACCTCCGCCGCGTAGTCTTCGTGCGCGCCGCCGCCGCCGCACGAGCTAAAGCCGCGCCCGCGCGCGAAGAGGAAGCAGAGCGACAGGACGAGCGCGGAGATGGCCGCGAGCGTGAGGTAGTGCGCGCGGTGCCGCTGCGTCCGGAGGCCGCGCTCCGCGTCGCGGCGCGAGTCTTCCTGGAGGAGCTTGAGGTCGTCGTACAAGGGGTATCGAATGGCGTGCACCGGGTGCGCCTTCTCCGAGACCGCCGGGAGTGGAGGGGGCAAAGCCGCCGTCGTACGCCGGCCGAAGGTGCGGAGGACGCGGTGGACGAGCCTGTCTTCGGGACGCATCTTGTCCTGGTCTTCAGTCGTCTCGTCGGTCCCCGCACGAGTTGGGGGTATAGACGAGCGCGTCGTCGTCGTCGTGGAGGAGAGAGATAAGAGGAGAGGTCTGCGACCGTGAGAGGGGATCCATATCGTTGATTCGCTCGACCTGCACGGTCTCCCGCTTCAGCCGTTCCTCCCGCCGGGCGCTATGCAGCGTCATCGGCAGCGCGTGCGCGCGTGATGTTGACGCGCCGAGTCGCGTTTACCCCAGACCACCACATCCTCCTCCTCCTCCTACTCGTCGGACATGGCTTTACCCACGCGCGGACGCGTCATCATCGAGACGACCGTGGGGGAGATTGACATGGAGCTATGGTCGAAGGTATGTGTTCACGAGCCATGCCTCTCCCTCACTTCATTCCCGTTGCAGGAAACTCCCAAAGCATGTCGAAACTTCATCACTCTGGCCATGGAAGGCTACTATGACGGCAATATCTTCCACCGGTGGGTGTCATGCACCAATATATGCTTACCGTTCTCACCTTCTTCCACAGTGTCGTGCCTGACTTCTTGGTGCAAACAGGAGATAGGACAGGGACGGGTGGAGGCGGAGAGTCGTTCTATGGAGGTTCGTGCCACCATAATGCCAGTGTGACCTTGTGCTGACAACCCTGTCGCTTTTTAGAGCCGTTCGACGATGAGATTCATCCCCGCTTGCGGTTCGTACACCGTGGGTTGGTTGGAATGGCGAATAACGGCACTAAGAACTCCAACGACTCTCAGTTCTTCATCACGCTGAGTGAGTTCATGCACACGATCACGAGTATTTCATGCAGACAGTGACTGTTGGGGTAGACCGAGCCGACGAGTTAAATGGCAAGCACACGCTGTTTGCGCGGGTCATTGGGGATACGTTCTTCAGTGAGCACGCATGCAACAGCAAGGTGGCTCGTTTGTGCTGACTAGCAGGCAGACGTACTCAAGATCGGTGAAATGGGTATGTCTGCACCCTCTTGAAGCGTCCTAAAGATTGAGGTCCTTCCCACTAGAGCTTGACGGCAATGAACGACCTCTTTAGTACGTCATTGTTCCACACCCTGCTATTGCGCTCTTGCTCACTGACCGTATGAAGTCCGCCTAAGATCAAGAAAATACGGATTGTAGATAACCCGTACGAAGACATCGTTCCCCGAATCACTGCCGAGGAGAAGCGAGCGCAACAGAAGGCACGAGAGCAAGCGCAACGAGAACGAGAAGAGGAGCAGCGACGTCGTGGTGCGAAGAAGTACGTCCTCGCCATGTTTCCACGGGACCCACGATGCTCACCCCGTCCCTGACCTGTCCTCTAGGGACGTCAAGTTGCTGAGCTTTGGTGGTGACGAAGAAGCGGAGGAGGAGCCTGTTGTCTTCAAGAAGAAGCCAATCGTCCGTCCAGACTGTGCGTTTAAGCCTTTACACGCATTTGCGCCCTTCAGCTCAACATGCCTCCACATTTTGCAGTGATAGACGCAGCGGATACTGCTGTGCCAATACCAGGAGTGCCTGCTCCCGCCGCGTCAAAAGCGTCAAAACGCGATCAGCCTAAAGACGACGCCGATGATCCTCCGCGCGTGAGTGCCCCTGCTCCCCACCACTTCCTCACGTGCTCACTCTCCCCATCACCAGGCCGAGAAGAAGAGCTCGAAGAGGGACAAGGACGAGAGCGACATCACGAAGATCCGCGAGCAGCACGAGCGCGAGAAGGCTGCCGCGAGCACCTCGCGGCAGTCCGAGATCGCGAAGATGGAGGCGGACATCCGCCGGCTCACCGCCGGCCGGGCGACGGCTCGGACGACGACGGGCCCGCGGCGAAGAAGCCGAAGCGGTCCTTCCTCGAGGAGGAGATGGCCAAGTACGCGAAGGGCCGCGGCGCGCACGCGAAGAAGCGCAA